GTGGGGGGAGGGGGAGGGTCCGGCACCCGAGAGCTCCGCAGACGCCGCGGCTGCGGCTGCGAGGCTTGGGAGCGCGCCTGGCGCCGCAGCCGGGGGCGGCCAGGTAGGCGGCGGCAGGGCGGGAGCGGCGGGGGATGGAGAAATGGGGGGCCGGGCTCCAAGCCGCGCGTTTCCTGTCCATCTTTTCTGCCCCAGCCAGGTCACCCCCATTCCCAGGCTGATGTTCCTGGTACCCGAAGGGCGCGGTGGGGCGCCCGCCCTCCTCCTTCAGCCCCGAGACCGCGGGCAGAGGCGCCCCAACGCCCTTCCCGCGCCCAGTCCCGGGCAGAGGCGGTCCCGGCGGCGCGCAGTGAGCGCTCGGGGGGGGAGACCCGCGGGGAACCCGACTCCTGTCCCCGCGGCGCCCCCTCCCACGGCCTCTGCCGACAGAGCGCGTCTCCCGAGTCCCTGTGTGAGGTCCTTGGGCCCCGTGGGGAAGACGTCTTCCCTTCCCGGCTCCCATCGCCTGCACTTCTTATATCTCTTCTTGAAGAACGACTGGTCATTTCAGGCCTCATCAACCTTTCTTGATTAATAAACGGTCATCGTTCATTTTGCTCTGTGCGTGTACACACACTGTATATTTTTGTAATTCAACACCACAGGATCCACGAAGAGTTCTTCACCTGCATTAAGAAAAGCGATTACAAACTCATGGTTCTAAACACAAGCACCAGAAAACCCAACTGAAGGCTGAAGATAGGATGGAAGCAAACGGAATAGGCATCCGTTTTAATAAGATCTCAGGTTGTTGGACTCGCTTTATAAAAGGCCGCAAACAGGAGCTAGACGGCCTGAGTTCAAAGCCCAACCCTGCCATTTACTGGTCACTTGCAAACACTTACCCTCTCTGTGCCTCAACGTTCTAATCTACAAAATGGGGATAAGGGAGCTGCAAAACAGCTCCTACCCTCCTACTGTGAGGATTAAATGAGTCAGCGGTTCTGAAGGGTTTTATTCTGCACGGCTCATAGTACCAGACAGGCTTATCATGGGTTGTAACAAATAAACACATTCCATCGCTGGAACACAGCTTAAGACTCAGTGATATCACATAGCTACTACTGTGACAAATATTCTGTTGGGGTTTTTTTTTTTATTGTTTTTAAATCATAACTGAGGCCTTTCGTGAAAAAAGGAAACTTGATTTCTGGGCTTCTTAGGCAGGCTGCACTGGTAAACTATTCACCATGAGGTTGTGCCCTTTGACTTTTCAAAAGAGATCATTTCTTTAAAGGGATTCACCGAGGTAACAACACTCATAGCTCTGCTCATAAGATCACCTCAAAAGCAAATGTAACAGCTCAGCTGGTGTGGCTTGGTGGTTGAGCCTGGACTTTCCCACCAGGAGGTGGGCAGTCCGCCTGCAGGGAGTGTGCAGGAGGCAGCTCATTGATGTTGACGTTTCTCTCATCCATGTTTGTAATTCTCCCTCTACTTTCCTCTCTCTCTAAAAATCAATTAAAAAAAATTTTTAACGCAAATAAAACAATAATTTGCTGACTGAGGACTGGTTGTCACTTAATTGTTTTATTGATTGATTTTGAGAGAGAGAGAAAGAAACATCAATTTGTTGTTCCACTTACGTATGCATTCATTGGTTGGTTTTTGTATGTGCTCTGACCCAAAACCTTGGTGTACCAGGCCGATGCTCTAATCAACCGAGCAGCGCGGATTGGTTGTCATTTAAAAACACCTCAGAGCTATTTAGAAATTCCTCAGACCATGGATGAACCTGGGGGATTTTATGTTAAGTGAAAGAATCCAGGTACAGAAAGACAAATACTGCATGGTATTACTTAGATGTGGACTCAGAAAAAAAAAAAAAGAAAGAAAGAAAAAGGTTGAACTCATAGAAACAGTAAAAAATAAAAAATAAGTAAATAAATAGTGGTTGGCAGGGACAGGGAGGTGGGGAAATTGGGAGGAGTAGGTGAAAGGGTACAAACTTTCGGTTATAAGATGAATAAGATCTGAGGATCTAAAGTGTACATGACTCTAGTTGATAACACTGTATCATATAATTAAAATTTGCTAAGACAGTAGAACTTAAATGTTCTCACCAAAAAAAAATAAAGATTAATATGTGTGGTGATGGATGTCTTAACTCCGGGGAAATCCATTCACAGTATATGTATATCAAATCATCATGTTGTATACTTTAAATATCTTACCATTTTGTCAATTAAACCTCAATAAAGCTGGGGAGGAGAACCTACACTGGATATTTATTTAAAAAGAAAACAAATGCCTGAGAAAAAATTATATGGTCACCTAAATACTAAGTTTTTTTTAGCATTTAGATTTTCATAACTGTAAATGATAACATATATTTTTAAAACCCTATTTTCATTTTTAAATGTTAAGAAAAAAAATCTGAGGAAGAGTGATGGTGATATGTGACATCTATAGCTGATTCACCCGATCTTTTAACAATGAATTGTATAATTTCTTAGCCAATCAGCACCTATCACAGTCTGACATATAGTAGATACTAATTAAATGTTTGTTGAGAGAAAGTATGAACAAAACAAGTTACTATTTTAAAATCGGAATTAATTGTGATGTTTTATTCTCTCAAAAATAAACAATGAATGCTGAGAGTTACATTTTCCTCTCATATCTGTTTCTCTTACTATTTTCATTTTCTGCATTAAGCAAGCTTTTAAGCTTCTTAGTGACATTTCACTGATGTAAGAAGAATTTTAATGCCATCTGTCTTAAAAGGACTTCTTTATTTCAAAATTCAAAGTACTGTAAACAGAGAATTGGCAGAAACCTGTCATCTGGCCCAGCCTTCCTCCCTCGGCAGATGAATGATTTAATTATCCACTAGGGAGACCTTTTGCCCCTTTCATGTCTTTTTCACTTGACTAGTCAAGAAATCGTTCCTCATGGAAACTATACCCCAATATCTCCACTTTAATTAAATCCTTTTCTGCTGGCTTGGACATCCACAGATATTAAGAATAGCTTACCTTCATGACCTTGTGAAAACATTTATACAGTTATAAATTTAAATTTTTTCTCTAACTAAAATTCTCAAATCTATTTACTTTTATCTCTGGGGCCTATTTCCATAGAACCTTGTAAAGACCTTCTAATCACTTTTGTTATTTAAGCTACATAAATTGAACTCCAAATTGAAAGCTTTAAAGGGTAATTAATATTGCAAAAGGCCAAATGGTGGCTTTGACAAACATTGGACTCAGATTGTGGTGGATTGTATTATTGGTTCACCATTTTTTGTTCTACCCTGGCAACACTTCCTCTAGGCAGGTTGTATTTCCCCACACAGTGACGCTGAGCTTGATAGTGTGACTTCCTTTGGCCAATGGAATTTTAGTGGACATGACAGAGCAGAAATTTAAAGGGCTTTGTCCTCTCCATCCCTTGAGCTCTGGCACCCAGGCATAAGAAGAGTATATTCTCAGGAGGGGGCTGCTTCGTTGAATTTTGTTCAAGAATTCAAAGACCTGTCTAGCCAGTAGAAACTAACTGAGTTCAGTAAGCCCAGCCATGCCCAGCAGAGCCACAGCAAGCCCACAACCCTCACATAATGGGAGTAAGAAATCATTGTGTCTGCAAACCGCTGAGATTTGGGGGAGAAATAATTTCTACTTCATCAGCAACAAAAACTAATAAATTTACATGCAAGATTCAGTATGGGTGAAGTTTTGTTTGTTTGTTTGTTTGTTTTACTTTTCTAAAAAGGCCTGCTGTTAGAAGTGTAATGACCAACTAAGAAAAGCTCTTGGTATTTTTTTAATGTATTTTTTATTGATTTCAGAGAGGAAGGGAGAGGAAGAGAGAGATAGAAACATCAATGATGAGAGAAAATCATTGATCGGCTGCCTCCTGCATGCTCCCCACTGGGGATCGAGCCCGCAACCCAGGCATGTGCCCTTGACCAGAATCAAACCTGGGACCTTTCAGTCCGCGGCCAACGCTCTATCCACTGAGCTAAACCAGCTAGGGCAATAGCTCTTAGTATTAATGTATTCATTTTCTCATCACACAGAGTTTTATTTTGTGCCTTTTATTGGTCAGAATTTGTGTAAAATTGTGTACATTTTTGCCAGTTGGCACAAATTCACCATGAAGGAAAGTTTCCCCAGCCAACAAGCTTGATAGGTGAAACTAAAGAAAAACAGTAGATGTTATCTCAAGTGTTATTTGGTAGCTACATATGAGCCTTAGTCTAATGAAGCATTTCTCAAAAGATCTTACACACTTTAGAAAAATTATCTCATTTACCATTACATTACCATTACACGTCAATGAGAAATGTAAAATTAAGACATTAAGGGACATTCAAGATTCAGAAGCTGTTCTAAAAACAATTATGTACTTTCATCCATTCAATACACAATTACTGGTAAGCAGGACGTTTGGCACAAGGCGATGCAATGGGGATTAAGGCATGAACTCTGCTTATAATAAATTCTAGCGGGACAAATAAGTAAGCAAAGAATTACAATACAATGTGATAAA